CAGTCCCCGTAGTTCCATATTTCGCCAGTGGCACGCTGAACGAGCCGCCCCCAAACATGGCCCCCACATTTAATTGTGGGCCCTGTTACCAGGATCTGGCTCGGGCCCCCCTACCAACCGGGGGGTCGGAGGGGTATGGAATACCCCCCAGCATAGAGGGGGGGTACGGGGGTCCTCCCCCGGGAAAATGTTGAAAATGTCATGTATTTTAGTGAGTTTTAAAGGCAATCTAGGTATTAAATTTGAGAGTGGTAAATGGCACTTTTGCAGCCTTTTTTAAGGAAGAAAAGAGTTCTTCAATGAGTTTTATAAGACTTAAAATTACAGGAATTCAGCAATTAAAACTGTTATATCAATACACAAAAGCTCCATGCCTATTAATATTTTGTCTTTTTTATTTCCCTGTAAAAGGGTTTGGCTATCTTAACTGCTATAATTGTACTTTGTAATATGGAGTAGGAAAAAAACTTACGTAAATCGAGTTTAACAGCTTACACCAATGAAATCATATTTTATTTAGTGACAATTTTCATCAAGAATTTTAACAATACTACATTTTTTGGGAGTGGATGCGAGCTGCCGAACTTGCGCGAGTAGTCACGGAGAAAAACAAATGTGCACTAGTAGTGCCGAGAATGACCGATGCTGTCGATGCCGATGCTATCCAATCCATGCTTTAGTACAGTAGAGCAAATTGGGAAGAAAACTTAGGTCAAAATTATTGCAATTTTTCATATATTTTTAAAACTCCAAAAGTAAAGAATTTTTAAGTTTGTGTCAAATAACCTAGATTGCAATTATTAATTGAAATATTCCATACATAAAAGTGCAACCGGGACCAAATGTTGATAAAACGAGACAAATAAGCATCCCGAGAGGATTTGTCGGGACGGACCAGTCCCCCTTAAACGGGACGTCTGGTCACCTTAGCTATGGTACATAGTACGTCAATTTTTCAATGCTTTACAAATTTTATTTTAACTTATAACTATAAGGATTCATTCTTGAAACTATCAGTTCAATTATAAAACCAAACTTTGTTTATTATGGGGGGAATGAGGTAGGAGTGGCTAGGCGCCTGGCGGGAGGAAGGGGTAGAGGGAGTTTGTGGAGCCGGCCACTGGGGCCCGAGCTGGCTGTTCTGCTGTTGTATAGTACATACGCACCTATAGTATTTAAATATAAACTACCTTAGAATCTAGAATTAATACATTTTAAATTATTAAACTTTGTTTTTTGTAAAATATTTATATTATTTTTTTATCTTCAATTTATGATCTGCTGTAAAGTGATCTTCAATTGGGGAAAAAATTTAAAAAAAATGGGTAGGCCCGGGCCCTCAAGGGTGACCAGAGTTGCACCAGCCCCACCCTTGTGGGGGCCATGCCCCCAAAACCGGTTTTGGACATTGCTACCAACCCTAAGGGAATGTATGGATTCGTGTGGGAGTTGAACATCACAAACGGGTCGCCGGAATTTTATCCCCCTGGAATTTTACCCCCTGGGCAAAGCTGACGTCACTATGACGTGGTAACCTGAGTGGCCAAAAGTTTGTTCGCGGCCGGAATTTTACCCCCGCGGATTTCGAAGTCTAATGAAAATAGTCAGAGCGTGATTAATTCGATTAGCGATAAAAACTGGAATTTTACCCCCGTCCATATAACTAGTGTTTAGACAACTGAAATGTACGGGAGTGAAAATTTAAAAACGTACGTTTTCATGTCCCCGGCCTTTTACTTCGTAGATCCTGGATTTGTAGTTTATTATTATGTGTTTTAATATTTTTTGGGACGGGGGCAACATGTTACACACATTTATTTGGTTTTAAATAGGTTCTAGGTATTTTTTTCGTATTTTTAAAGTCTCGAAATTCACGACCATGACGTGTCCCTAGGGTACATTTTCCAACTTTCACGCTGTTTTTAGACTAATTATTCATGCCGTAATATATAAAGCCATATTTTTATGTCATTAATGGTTATTTAACTTACAAAAAAGGAGCATATTATAATTTTATTGTCATTGCAAACTGACTACCATGACAAAATAAGTCTGTCCCTCGATTTGGCGTCACGACCATTTGGGGAAAATTTTCAACTTTGGAGCACGACAGTGGCAAGCCTGGCGTCGATGGAGTCAGTTGGTTTTAGAGACTAGTTCGGGGTGTACGTCAGGATTGTAGTGCCGGTCGTTTTGAGTTGAAAGGAGGAATTACAAGATTAATAAAGGAAAGATTGTGTTTTTTGTAATTTTGGTGTGTCCATGACCGTACGTAGTCATTCGATGAAGTGGACATGGTGTTAATTTTTGTTTATAAGATATTTCAATTGCTAGATTAACCTAGAAGTTCACTTTGTATCCTCGAACATGAGGTGCAGGGCTACCGCCAGAATAGAGCCAAATAACACGTAATTTCACGACCAAAGTTTCACGACCATGGCGGTTTTTTCACGACCAATCCAGCCTTATGGATTATAGTGTGTTTGGTCGTGACAATAACTTTATTATAATAATTGTAATTGGAACAGTTTAGTTCAATTTAAACACTTATTTTTATTATAACTAACAGTATAATTGAAGGATTGTTTAGAAAGATTTAGATTATTTCAGAAAATTCACGACCGTACCACTTGTCCCTGACCATCACGTTTATGATTTCTATCATAAAAATTTCAAAAATTAAAATATCGTCATATTTCAATGTTTTATACACAAAAGAAGCACACCTCTATACAAACATAACGATTTTTCGGGTCTCAGGTAAGTTTTTTCGGAGTTATACAAACTTAAAAAGATTTTATTGGCTTTTTTTTAAATTTTTTGAGTTTTTTATTTTTTTCTAGAAAGACCAAATATACCATAAGCTCAGTGACCTTTGTATTGTATAATGGTCATAAAAGTAAATTAGTTTATAGCAAAACATAGTTATAAAAATAATATTAACTATTTTTAATATTCATTTAAACGTCTGTTATGGTCGTGACAGGATTTTGTGTTTTTCCACTAAAGATGCTCTTTGTTTAAAAAAATACCAAAGATATTGCGTTACCATGGACATTTTATAAAACTTCAAATGTTAATGAAATAAAAATAATAATAAAAGTTTTGAAAAAAGGGGGAAAAAATTTGCAAAGTGCTTTTCCTGAAAACGTACGTTTTTAAATTTTCACTCACGGGCCGGAATTTTACCCCCGGGGATTTTTACCCCCCGGAATTTTACCCCCTGTTTAGAAATTGAATGATTGGTTTTCTTATTTCTGTTTTTAATTAATTGTAAACATTTCATTATTTAGTAGCCTATCTTTATTTATTTATTTTTTAAAGAAATGTTCGAAACAATTATCATTCAGTTGATTGTTTATACGTCATATTAACCAACTGTTAGCTTCAAAGATCGAATCCTAATACTAGAATCTCAAAATTAAAATTCAAAACCTGTTCGGTTAGTTTCTTACAAAGAAATTAATATAGGCTACTTAATAATAAAATGTTTACTATTAAATTAAAACAGAATGAAGATAATTAATCATTCTCACTAATTTTTATATCTAGCCAGGGGGTAAAATTCCGGGGGTAAAATTCCAGGGGTAAAATTCCGGGGGGTAAAATTCCGGGGGGTAAAAATGCGGGCCGTACACTCTAGGTTTTTATAATTTGATGTGTTCTGATTAAATTCACAACCGTGAAAATATATGTCTAATTCCGCGTTTAATCCATCGAATTTTACCCCTTGAAGATACCTTGGTTTGTGACGTCACGTTTGTCCAGGGGGTAAAATTCCAGGGGGATAAAAATCCGCTACCCCTTCAGGGTTGAGTTACGACTGAGGAGGGGGGGGCAGGGGCAGGTTCGGCTGTTTCGCCGTATGTGTGTTCATCTCCATAAAGCACAATGCCCTGCTACCCACTGGGCCGGCGGCCCAGCGAAGTATAGAGAATATCCGGCGGTTTCGCCGGAGCATTTTCCCGCCGGACTGGAGAAGTGTATGGCCTTCCCATGCCTTCCTGTGTATCTCAACTTTCTCCGGCGTCCGGCGGTTTCACTTGTAAGTGTGTCCCTAGCCGACTATCACACTTCACAAGGTATTATGTTTGATCTTTCTTGGATATAAAAACATACTCCCTTTGTGTCTTTGGCAATACGTTGCTCCTACTATACTACCATTGACTATTGGATACAGAATGACGTATCTATTAGTATTTTAATGTCTAAAATAATTACAGCTAAGGAGCGCTAAGTAGAGTGATTCGTACAGCGTTTCTTTTTTTGGTAATGGCCACCACAGTGTAAAACTTCAGACTAAAATTTCCGCATAGATTAAAGAATCCCTTTCCCTAGTGGTTAAATTAAGAGACAAACGTTTAGTTGACTTTGACTTATCATTGACTATATTATCACAGACAAGGGCTTAGTCAATGATATTATATACCTACAGAAGACATCCCAGGCTTATGGGCCGGTAGTAGTTTGAGCCCAAGATGCATGGAGTAAAAGAGGTGGGCCAGACATAATTTTGATTTTTAATGTCCCATAAAAACCCATAAAATAACAGAAAAATCGGATTTTCTCAAAAATGGCCCGAACGATTTAGTAAATGAAAATTTTAAAAAATGATATAAATTTAGTATGTTGTAGCCCTTTAAATTCTGAACAAAATGGTAAAACTCCCATTTCTGTAAAAATTACAGTTCAAAAGTTATTGTAAATTATATTATTTTCCCATAAAATAAGAGAAAATTGTATTTTCGAAAGAAACCGGTTTAGATTGAAATTAATGTAATAAATATTCATCTTATCGAGTAAGTTCTATAAGGCCTAAGTAACTTGTAAACACAATAGGCCTACACTGAACACAGATATTTGATAATTCAAAGCAAATACCATGGCTAAAGGTGTCTTTTGCATGCATACAGTTCAAAGGATCAAACAATATCCAAGGCACATCCACAACATCAACTACATCATTTCACATTTACAACTCAAGGGTAAATCAACAACAATAAAATTGAAGTTTGCTTTATTTACACAAAAATATTTGCCGATATTACAGTAAGTAGTTCATCAAAATAAAATTAGAAAACCTATCACAGTACAAAATGGAGCCACACATAAGGGATATTTTGATGTCGATTTAGCATATTGTGAGGTACTACCGATTAATAAAGCACTATCGATAATAGGCCTTAATGTATGTACAACCTAACCTCATTTGCTTGGAACGTGTATACAAAACCTTAACACTGAGTTTGATCCATCTAAAATAGTGTAATAATAACTGTGTTCAATATGAAACAAAATACTTAGTTGAGTTCAAAGGGTAGGTATATAGGTTCCCTGAGGAGTATAGGTGAATTAAAAATAAACAGTCTTAAACTTTGTTAACAACTTAAGAGTAGAAAGCATTTTATTACAAAATATAAATCCCAACCTGACACAAGCTGCGTACGCTTACAACCTACAATTTTGTAACATTTTTTTATAAATATTCACATTTTTAAAGAGTAAAACTGTTTTAAACATTCACTCCTTAAACGGTACATGAAGTAAAACCGTTACTGTAACCAAAAATGTATCCTAAACACAAATCAATATTGCGAGATACATTCTTAACAGCACAAAAATTAAATTGCAAACTCTATACATATCTAAATTATTATCACCCAAGGGCATTAAATGCCCTGCATAAATTAATCAACAAAAAATCAATTATTTTGCCTTTCCTGGTACGGTATGATATTTTGTTCTTAAAATTATTGTGGTAGAAAACAATACTTTATACTTGTTCAGAAGTTATTTCAAATATTTACCTTTTTTTAACTATTTAAAGGATGGGATATAATTTCAATCAATCTTTTCATATACATAAATCATTAAAAAAAATAAAACAAGATGAATTTAATCATTATCAATTTGCTATAGAAAATAGTACGCCAAGTTTGAGTCATGTCATAAAAATCGTGGACATCTAGATTCTAACCAAAGAATATTAATTTTACATTTATAACCACATCTCTTGATACATTAATATTTATTGTTTATAAAGTTTGATTTATTTGTACACCACAGGTTTACAACAAATTACCTTATTTGATTAAGGTAATAAAATGTCAAACTCAAATAAACTACATAAATCGTAGTTTCTACGAATAAGATTATTAGGGAGTTTGATTATTTAAATTATTGGTTTCATATTGCTTTGACATTCCCAATAAATTAACTTTCATCTTAACAAATCAAATCAAATCAAAATCATTTTTATTTCAGTAAGTAATACATTGTTACAATACTTTGTCAGTATCAATTTTATAGCTATGCAATGGTTATAATAATATACTGACTTAGTAATTAAATATGAAATGCCTCTCACATAGGCTACTGCCCGAGCGTGAGAGATTTCCGCTATCAGGAAATAAATATTAGAGATTGAAAAAAAAAAAAAAATAGATATCTATGAAACATGACATGACAGTTAATTGGTATTAATTTGGCTGAAAGAAAAAGCCAATTCAAGAATAACTACAATAAAAAATATTTTTAAAAATACTGGTAAGACAACTTTCTTCTAACAGAATTTACTCTACTGATGAGATGCGTATCAGTACAAAAATGTAGTAGAAAAGTTTAACACAATATAACAGAGTAGATTGTTTGTTTTATTACACTTTGATTGTTGCGGTATTTTAAAGTTGATTTACATAGAGTACCATCAGCGTTCTATCGTAATGGGGTTAAAAGATATCTTTTAACATTAATTTTTAGAAGTTAGTATGATGGTGTAAAGTTAAATTGCTTATGTGTTTAGTTTATTATTTAATGTGAAAGCATCAAATTGATTGTCAAGCACTGAAGGTGGTTAATAGAATCTGTTTAACTACCGATAAGCCTACTCTTTTGTATGTTGCTTAGAAAAATCTAGTGTTTACCTAAAATTTAGTTATTTAGATATTTAAAACCTATTACTTGACTTTTTTATTTTTTTTTGTGACTACCTACAGTATTGTCAATGATAATAGTACAAATGGTATAAAACATTGTATGTGTTAATGGAAACACAAGTAACGAAAGGATCAACATGAACAAATAATTTACCAAACCACTCCTATTTTTTAATTCAGGTAAAATCTGTGGTGTCTATTTCATAATCACATTTAAATTTATAAACACAATCGCTAAATTGTTACATTACCACTAAATAGAGAAGGAAGATAACAGCAAGGAAGCATATTAATTCAAATATATATATATCTTCGAGGGTAAAGTTGGTAAAAAAAGACTCAGTACAAAAATAATATAGGGAAGAGTCAATCTGTGGGAGAAAAGAGAATGAAAATCAATAAATTAGAAAAATTGCTCATAGGAACTAACATAAACAATATTGTTTTCCAAAAACACATAAAATTGGAATCAATGTGAATTTCCAACATTGTATACAGTAACTAGAAACATAAAACAAATCCAGTAAAAAAATTACAGCTTATATACATTTGTTACAAACAAAAACTACGTACAACCTTCAAAACCCACTTGTTCTGTTCGACAAACTATTCGGCTATGACTAAAACAATCTCGGGTAGTAAAATAATTAAATGCTCGCGAGTCAAATTCACATACGGTCAACAATACGTCTACGACGTTGAATCTGTCGGTTAATGTAGCCCGCACTTCACCGTGTTCACTTTAAATATTCTAAATTCTCCGTTTACAAAAGAACTAAAACTGTGATAAGGCGGTTGGCGAGTGACGAGTGGCGAGGCGGTTACCAGATGGTGGCCAACAGGAATGTGAAGAGTCGGAAGTGGACGTAGGAGGAGGTGAGGAAGAAGACGTGCAGTAGGAAGAACCGCAGCGGGTCCTGCAGTACAGTCTGTGGAGGTGCGGGGGAGGCACAGTACTGTGACACGGGGATCTCTCCCGTGCTGTAGAATGTCGACAGTATCTGCTCCTTCTCCTGCCACCGCGAGAACAGCCACTCTGTCATCGCCTCCGTCTCAGTGGGAATCTGCAAAAAAAACAACAGTTACAGTCTTCTGTCATAGGGTTCTTTTCCGTCTATTTCTCAAGATTATTCTGATCGTTATGGGTCCAACCTCTCTTAAAACCATGATAAACTTTATATGGTAAATAAACTATACCGTAATAAACTCTCCAAGGTGGCTTCCTCAGAAGTAAGTAGTAGAATGGCAAAATTAAACTACTGCGAACGTTTTCCGTACTAAAAAATAAGACAGCTAAACATGTGCAGTGGCAGTTTAGCTTTAATCTGTCACATCAATGTTGAGAAATTAGTATTCTGTGTTCGATACTACAGTTTATTAACTCATCTAAGAAAAGAGTTCCAAGCAATCAATATCAAACAAAAAGTCCACAATGGTGTTACAACTTCCATTCTAATTATTGTTTAACTTGTAGAAAATATTTGATGACCTCAGCCAATGAACCTGTGCTGATTTAATATCTGGTATATTTTGGTTGTGATTTAATATTATACTAACGAACCTGTGCGGCTCAATGCCCCGCAAAAACATATGAATTTAGAAAACAAATTCATCGTGTTATATATTGACTCGTCGAAAATTAAATACAGTAATAATAAAGCATTAGAAGGGAAGCAATCCAGCCATTTTCTAGCTGTATGTGTATTATATTTAGTAAATTAATAAGTGTTCAAGTTCAAGTATGTTACAGGGTAGTTATTTTTTTAAGATTTTTAAAAACACATTTAACAAAAAATTTTATTATATCAAACCAATAGGCAGTGAATGTAGCATGTAGGCCTACCTATGTAGCATATTTTGAGGGTAATAAAATGCTGCTTTGAAAAAAACGCTTTTAAAAATAAACACAAAAAAACAAAATTTTCTTTCACAAAAGCACTTCCATAAATACTCCGATTTTAGTCTTAAAGTTACCTTCAGGAATATTACCCTGGTCAGAATTTTCCGTAATGAATATGCTTATCCTACTATTAAAAGATGTAGCCTTACTTAAAACAACATATACAGTATATAGTTGCTCATGACTGAAATTGGTCTGGCTAAGAACATTGCTGCTCTTTCATTAAAGTGCTTGTGCTGCAAATGCCAAAGATAACTGAAATTAGTATCTTTCCATTTTAAAAGGTAACTTTGTTTCAGACGGGCAAATTTTTTATCCTCGAAATCAAAATATGTCCTTACTCACTTGTTCCATGTTAGGACTTTACATTCTACTTTACATTGTTGTTAACCATTCTGATCACATGAAGCCTTGTGCCATTAAAAGGTACTTTGCTTGGTGCTTTCATAACTGCAAACTCAAAATACACCCACAAGTAAAAAAGAATCAAGTTATTGGTAAAAAAAACTATGTTTGTGTAAAGACATGATTCACATGAAGTAGATGATTTGTTTGATTTCTCGGTCAGCTGTTTCGTGTCTAATGAATTAATAATGTCAAAGATTTGTGATTTTAAATACATCAATTATTATAGTAAAGTTTTCTAAATATGGCAACTTATTCTCAACTAAATTTTACTATTCCCAGAATGAAAATAAAGTAGTGAAATCCATTATGAGTAAAGTTTAAGGCACACAATCCTTGATTGAAATGTAGTATACATTAACAGTCATAATACACAACAATTATTATGTAGTAGACTTTGACTATTTTCAAGTAACAAACATATGTTTCTGTAAATAAAAATTATCTCCCTTGTTATCCTTATGGAGAAATACGAAACTTTAAAGGGCCCTAGGGCCCCACTCTCTAATTATTTCCTTAAAAAGAAGGTTTCCTGCACAACTTCACGTTATGCTCTTTCCAATGACACCAAAAACATGTCAATCGGTTCAGTAGTTTCGGAGGAGTAAATGTCACAAAAATCGTGCTTGCGTATTAAATAAGTAATAGATACATGCCAATTTGCTTTAAAATTACACTTGACTAATAAACTATTATTTTGAATCAACTATTTAAATGTGAAAAAAACATCTTAGAGGGGTGAAAAATAAATAAATGTTTTAAGAACTGTTTATGCCCAATAAACTATCTAGGACTCTTTTCTTAGATGATTTAACTGTGCATCAAATCCAAAATAATCATAACTAGTGTACATGTTGCTCGAATTCGAGCAATTGCAAAGTATTACAGGGGTTATTTCAAAACGAATAAGAGTCATATTTGCAATGAGTTTAAAAAGAGTCAACTCAAATATTACCATTGTGTAACTCAGACCCTGATTATCTTCATTATTGATAAACCTAAAGCATTCCGGCTGGTTTTCTCCTTCTCAAAATGCCTCGCTATACAGGCAACACATGTCATTGATAGAGGGTCAATTGAGAACGAAAAGTCTTTTAGGGGTAGTGTTAGCTCCCATTTGTAACCTAATAGTTGAGATTGTCCAGAGTCAGGTGCTGACAATTGAGAACGAAAAGTCTTTTAGGGGTAGTGTTAGCTCCCATTTGTAACCTAATAGTTGAGATCGTCCAGGGTCAGGTGCTGACTGTGATGAGTTAAGCATATTACGCGCCACTGTTCTGTAGCTGCGGTAGTTATCACGATTACGCCTCCAGTCTATGTTACGTTGTCGTCGCGTCGGAGGCATTTAAAAGAAAAAACAACAAATAAACAAATTATAGCTACACAAAACAACGATAAATGCACAAGTTTAAGTTTCAATCGTGCTAACACGATCCGTCATAGCCACACAAAGCAACGATAAATACACAAATTCAAGATACAACCATACTAACACGATCCGTTTTCGTTTTGGGGGTTATGTTTACACAAACTCAAATAGTAAATAAATTTACTTAATGCGTTTCATTAAATCGAAAAATAAATAACAGCAATTAAATTATACAGCTGATCAAAATGTAAACAATTATGTTCATCATAAGGATAACATGGGAACTTTCAAAGCCACTGGGGCAGAACCCAAGGGACTTTGTCAAAAATGTAAGGCCAGTTTGCAAATCTACGCGACACGCTCTTTCCAATGAGACGTCAATGGATAAAATCGGTTAAGAAATGGCGGAGGAGTTCAACCGACAAAGTTTCATGTAGCATATTAATTATATAGATATCCGCAACAGACCACTGAACATTTTAGAAGCACTGTATCTAGCATGCTGGTAGTGAACGGATCAACTTATGTTACTTCAGACACAGGTTAGGACATTTTTCATCCCTGACCTGAGATCCCGGGAACAGTCTGTAGAACATGAAGGTCTGACAGGGTTTGCGCCAGCCCGTGATAATGGTTGGAAGGTCCAGGGGCTTGCCTTCAGGGTAGGCTATTGTGATGTCCAACACCCATCTAAGCTGATAGTCCCCCTTCACTTCTGCAACAAAATCAGAGTTGAAACTGGAATGTCCGTACTCACTGAACTATTTCTTAACACAAGATAAAGCACTTGTAAGACCGGGGTTAAAATAAGAAGGCGCATTGTAATGAACTGAATACCGCCGGTTGACATTAAAGGAGTGATGGAGCATTACATAGTGAAGCTGATGTAGGTAGCGGGCAACTGAGGCCGAGGAGAAGCATCATACGGGACAGGTGGAGAATAGGACGCTATCTGTGATTGGTTAATGTTCAACCAACGGTATTAATTTATTCAAATGAATTATACGTTACAGCACTGTTGCCAATACAAATATTAAATGTTATAAATCAATATGCATATATTACATTTCCTCCCCCTTAACTTTTTGACATAAAAGTTATAATTTTAAAAGTTTAAACATGAGCACCTACAGTGGATTAGACATGACAAAAACATGAACAGTACGGTAATCAAATCAATAGTACACACAACAAATACAATGTAAACACATAAAATGAGGGAAAATATTCCTAAACAAATCAAATAACAAAACAAAGTACATAATAAACGATAAGGATTGTAACAATTAACAATAATATTTACAAGTTTAACTTCACTACTGGTCTACGTTCCCTGACTGGGTACCTACGCTCAGATCTGACAGGTGATTGTTTCCTATCATCAGCTGTTACTTCCCGCTGCGGGCTCGGTGTGGAAATGACGTCACCTTGTCTGTGGTCAGGTACACGTGGAGAGGTGGAATGACGGTTACTGGAACTGGAGGGGCGGGGAGAAAAGGAACTGGAGCGGCGTTTGTTGGAGCTGGTGGGAGTGGCTATTGTTGGACTCATATGTTGTGGAGAGGGTATAGGTCGGGTGATTTCCACAGCTGATTTCCCCCTCTCATATAACTCAGCTGATACCTTTGGCAGCGAATCTAAGTTTACCTCCGGTACAGCTGTTGCAATACCACTATTTAACCCAATTATCTGATCGATATGACGTTTCCAAATAACATCATTTTCCAACTTTACTAAATAAGACACAGTGCTTAGAGGTTTTACGATTACACCTGAAATCCATTTGTTCCAGTCCCTATAGTCTCTTACAATTACGGGTTGGCCCTCACATAAAACTCTTGTTTTACTTCCGCCATAATTACCAATCGCAATAATTGAAAATCTGCACACAACCGCAACTCCCCTGATTTCTTAATTACCGGAACAACCGGACTTCCCCATTCACTGTTACTTACTCTGTCGGTCATGTACAAACTGTGGTAGGTTTGGCCTGATCAAATCTAACCTACACCTTAAGGGTCTATTAAACATCAATTTTGCAGGGGTTTCGTTGGTGGTTAAATGCACAGAATTTCTATAAGCTAACAAGAACTTACACAAGGATAAATCTACACTGTCGTTACTCATAATAGATAGCTTAATTCTTTTCTTAACATTTTTGACAGAGTTTTCTGCTAGACCATTTGTAGGTGTGTGAAATGGTGGTGTCAATGTGTGTGTAATTCCATTACATTTCAAAAAATCTTTAAATTCAAAAGAAGTAAACGGTGGTCCGTTATCAGAAACTATTTGGTGGGGAAGACCAAATCTCGCAAATAGTGGTCTGAGCTTGGCAATAGTTTGTTTGGCTGCCGTAGAGCTCACTTCTTCTACTTCCAACCACTTACTGTGAGCGTCTACTATGATAAGGTACAATTTGCTATTAATAGGGCCCAAGAAATCAACATGTAGGCGTTCCCATACGTTTTTGGGGTGTTCCCACACATGTAAGTTACATTTAGCTGGGCTCTGACGTACCATCAGACAGAGTGAACAGCTGTTGGCTAGATTCTCTGTATCCGCATCTATGCCAGGCCACCAAAAGTACGATCGGGCCATGGCTTTCATCTTCACAATTCCGAGATGCCCACAATGTAATTCTGACAAAAGCAACTTCCGTAAATTTTGAGGAACCACTATTCTATGCCCCCACATAATAATACCGTTCTCAACACAACAGCTAATTCACTTTGTCGCTGGTAGTACGGTTTTAGATTCTCATCAGTACTTGGTGCGTAGTTTGGCCAGCCATACAAAACATAACCTAAAACCTTGTTTAACACAATGTCCCTTTTTGTCTCTTCTCTTACATTATTAAGGAATGTCATTTTCTTGAATGTATTGCAAATACGTGCCAACATAGTTTACATCGTCTGACTCAAAAGGAAAATCTCTTATATTCAAGGGCAATCTAGATAGGCAGTCGGCGTTGGCATTCACCTCTGACCTCACGTACTTAATGTCAAAATCGTAATTAGTTAGGAAGAGCGCGTAGCGCTGAAGTCTGCTGGTTGCGTACGCAGGCAACCCCTTCTTAGGTCCGAAAATGGACAACAAAGGCTTATGGTCTGTAATTAAGACAACTTTCCTACCATACAAATATTGGTTAAACTTTTTAACCCCATACACAATACCTAGTGCTTCTTTATCAATGACGCTGTACTCCATCTCAGCCTTAGACAAGGTACGGGAAGCATAAAAAATTGGCTTAACATTACCATCTTTCTGTACTTGACTCAACACACAACCTAAGCCATAATTTGAACTATCTGTAGCCAACTGTACAGGTAAGTTAGGGTCATAGTGAGCCAGTATTGGCACGGACACTAGTTTGCTTTTAATTAAATCAAAGGCTTGTTTACAAGGAGATGTCCATTCAAATACACTATCTTTTTTCAATAAGTTGTACAATGGTGATGCAATAGTTGCCAAGTTAGGTACATATTTACCGTAATAGTTCACCATCCCTAAGAAAGCTTTCAGCTGTGTGACATAAGTGGGAGTAGGTGCGTTTAATATGGCATTGACTTTAGATGGAGATGTACTTAGTCCATCCTTGCTTAACACATACCCTAAGTACTCTATTGACTTACGGAAAAACTCACACTTCCGTTTACTCACAGTTAGCCCATTTGATTTTAGTCTACTACACACCTCATTCAATCTCTCTTTGTGAACCTCATTATTTTCACCCGTGATCAAAATGTCATCTAAAAAACATACAACACCTGGCATACCTGTAAGAATTGATTCCATTATTTTTTTTTAAATTCCCGGAGCTGAGGCAACACCATAAGGAATTCTGTTGTACTTGAATAACCCTTTAGTTGTACTTATAGTAGTTAATTTCTTTGACTGTTCGTCTATACATACTTGTTGGTAAGCTTGGGATAGATCGATCTTGGAGAAGGTTTTTTACCTTTCTGCAAGGTATTGAAAAGATCATCTATTCGGGGTATCGGGTGTCTGTTTATTATTAATGAGTCATTTAGAGAGGAAGCCCGAAAATCTGCACACAACCGCAACTCCCCTGATTTTTTAATTACCGGAACAACCGGACTTCCCCATTCACTGTTACTTATAGGCGACAAAATACCCTCCTCCACCAATCGATCTATCTCAGCTTCAACTTTGTTTTTAAAGCAAAAGGGATTGGTCTGGGCTTTAAGAATCTGGAACAACATTTTCTTTAAGTACTAAGCTAGCCGGTTCGCCTTTATAACAACCTAAGCTGTCTGTAAACACCTCTGGAAATCTTTTGTAAAGGTCACTAGCAACATTGGATTCAATATCCCCCAAATTACCAAAGGACTGGTTTTGACTATAGCTAGGGCTTACACGATCACTGCTCTGGTTAGGTATTTTAATCACTACCCCAAGGTCACGGATCCAATCCCTCCCCATCAGGGGATTAGCTCCTCTAGGTACTACAATACAAGTTCAATTCTTTGTTGCTCCTCTCATACCTAACGTTTACTTACATTTTGCCCAACGGCACTATTGGTTGATTAGTATAAGAGTTTAATACTAAATTTGTGTGTTGCAACTCGACAAAACTAAAATTATCCTTGTAACACTGCTCATAAATCACAGAAACACAGGCTCCACTATCAACTTCAAAATTAATAAACTTATCTTCTACTTTGACATCTACAGTAATAGGTTTGACTCTTTCATTGTTGCACACATCAGCTTTGTTTAATGAATAAATGTTTATAGAATCGTGAGCCCCTTCCGACTGTTCTCTAGGTAACATTTCATTACTGGCCTGATTAGCCACAAACATCTCATTGCTGCATTCCCCAGACTCGTCAATGTCCACATAGTTCTGTTTGTAATTTCTCTTATTTCTATACTTAGAAAAATTTGGAAGTGACTTACCCCCAGTTGACTGACAAACCTGCGCTAAATGACCGGTTTTGCCGCACTTGTTACACTTATAACCGCGAAATCGGCACTCTGTGGCTTTATGATTCAGCTTTCCACAACAATAACACGTCACTTCTTTCTTGCTCACTCCACTTCTTTCCTCCCTCCTGAAGTTTGAATGTCCCTGACGGACTTGATGATGCTGTTGTTGTTTTTGTCTGCTTGGTGTCATCAACGTGGTGCGGGCGTCGGCGTCCTTCCGCCGTGCGTTGTAGTTCAGCGTGTAACCTCTGTTCGTGGTCCCGGCCGCCGTCAGCGTCGCCGTCTCCCTGTCGGTCATCTCCATGTTGGTAGCAATGGCCACTGCTTTCTCGAACGTCAAATCGGTTTCGCCAAGTAGTCTCTTCTTGATAGCGTCACTCCGTAATCCGCTCACTAATCTGTCTCGTAAATATTCCGCTAAAGTATCTTTGAAATCACAGAACATTGAAAGCTCCTCAAGCTGCACGACGTATTCCACGATATTGTCTCGTGTTCTCTCTGATGACGTAAACTAAATTTGTACCGTTCCGTGATTACTGAAGGTTTCGGGCTTAAATGCATTTCCACTAGCCGAACGATTCCTTCAAAAGTTTTTTCCGTCGGTTTTCCCGGCGCACACAAATTTTTGACTAACCGCATAAACCGACGACTGAGCTTGTACGACTTTCGTTTACAAGTCATAGAACAATTGTTGCCTAAGAAACCAGCCCCATTGGCCATCACAACGACCAGTGGTAGTAAGCACAGACTTTCCCAAATGGACAA